AATAAATAATGATGGTGGTACTGTTTAGAGTATAGCGGATTGGAGGGATCACATGTAGAAATTTCTTATAGTTAGATGTTTTTTCTTTTCTTTTCTACTTCTTTTAATACATATAGTGTTAGATTAGATTTTTTTCTATGCAATATTATATAATTTCTGTAGCCTGGCATAGGCAAAAATAGTGTCATCATAGTCATCTTCTTTGTGGCCTTTTTCTCCTTTTCTCTATTTTTTCTTTTGTGTACGTTTTTGTTTTGTTTGGTTTAGATTTCCTCTCTTTTTTGTATTTTCTTTTATTTTCTTAAATTCTCTATTGTTCTTGCGATAGAATTCTTCTATCTAGGAGGCTAGGAGAAGAAGGTTAGAAAAGAAGGTGATCATGATGGGCTGGTAAACCAGGTCGGTGAACCGGGCAGGTCAACTTGATGTAGGTTGAACCAAACCGGGGAGATTAAAATCATCTTTGGCAGGTCGCACACAGGTGCATGAGTACTTAGGTACTCTATATAAATAACCGGATGAGTCACATTCTAGTAATAAGATGTAATATAAAAATCCTTTGGATTGCTGTATATAATCAATAAAAGCAGGGCATGTGGTATGATTGTCAAAAATAAAAATAAAAATAAAAAAATAAAAATTTTTTTTCAATAATTACCTGGACCAAAATTTCTGCTAAAGAAAAAACAAAATACTTGCTATAGAGTCATGGTCTATCATTGTGGTTTGTCTAGAGATTAACTTTTTTTTTTTGAAGACTTTTCTAAAAAGATGTTTAGCATACAAGCCAGGAGCATTGCTATACAAGATAATTGGCAAAAGATGCTTTTGTATAAAAAATCTTAATAAAGTATAGATAGTGAAGCCCAACTCTATTGACGAAGCATATAAACTGCTACTTCAAAGAAGAACACAGAGAAAACAGCAAACTTTAAAAGTACTTGCAATTGAAATTCTTCTATTATATTTTTACTATTTTAGAATTTTTTAGAAATTTTGTCCAAAAAGTGGAAAAACTGGTATACCTCTTTCAAAAGATCAGCAGTGTTTACTCCTTCTAAATTAGAACATGTTTACTGAAGTGTAATCCTTCATGAGCTTATTTAGATTTTGCCTTCCCAAATAAACAATAATAGCATATTAGAGGTCAGAAAAATCATATGTAAAAATTTTTTAATATTAGATATTTTTTCTTTTTTTTTACTTCTTTTAATATATATAGTATTAGATTAGATTTCTTTTATGCAACACTATATAATTTATATAGCCTAGCATAGATAAAAATAGTGCTATCATGGCTGCTTTCTTTGTGGCCTTCTTTACCTTTTCTCTTTTTTCTTTTTGCTTTTTTCTTTTTTTTTATTTAGTTTAGATCTTCCTTCTTTTTTTTTTGTTTTCTTTTTATTTTTTAAATTTTCTGTTATTCTTTGGTGGAATTCTTCTATCTAGAAGGCTAGAAGAAGAAGTTGAGAAAGAAGGTAGTTATGACAGGCTGATAAACCAGGTTAGTAAACTGGGTGAGTCAGTTTAATATAGATCAAACCAAACTAGAGAGATTGAACCCATCTTTGGCAAGTTGTACATAGATGCTTTTTAGTAACCAGATGAGCCACATTCCTGTATTTTTTGTCATAAGGCATAGTGTAACTTTGAAATCCTTCAGGATTAATATATTTCATCAATAAAGTAGAGCATGTAATATAACCATTAAAAAAAATAAAAATAAAAATAAAAAATTTTTAGCTAATAAAAATTTATTTTATTTATTTGCTTTGGGTTTATAATTATTAGTATTACTAACTAATTAGAATATATTTGATCTTGTATTTAATTGGTCAATTAAATAATATACATTTATTGGATATTTAATAAATTATTTGGTAAAAAATTTTATATTTGAATATTTAATTCAGTAAAACAATTCTATAAATTAAAAAATAATAAATATATTATTAAACTTACAATAAAAATAAAAAGTTTATTATTAAATATTAAATCATAACCAAAATTTATTTATTAAAAACAAATTGTATAAAAATAATTTTTTAATTATTTTTATAAAATATACAATATATAGTATATATATAGTATAATATAGTATACAATGTATATATATAGTACTGTATATAGTATAAAATATTAAAAAAAATTATTTTTAAATTTTTTTTTAAACCTTAACTTTTTAATGTTTAAAGCTTAAAAAAATTTTTAATAAAATTAACAATATACAGTATATCTTAAATATATAAATAATATATTTATAAAAATAAATACTTACATAAAAAATGCTATTAATATATTAGTAATACGTATCGAAAACTAAATTTTTTTTTTAAAGTTTTTTTTTTTTTCTGTAAATTTATTGCTTTGTGTCATAATACGAAAAGCAATTAGTTTATATATTCTTCGATACCGCTCAAATCTGATATAATCATATTAATTATCGATTAGTCGTATAATCAATTGTATTTTAATAGGGTCACTATAAGGATCAACAATCAATCATATGGATTTTCCCATCATGCACTTCATAGGATTAAAGAAATTTCAATATCGTGAGAGTCGTAACCGGTTCGAATACCGTTGCTTAACATAAAGAACATTACATGACTTTTTTTGCTAACAAAGATCATTTTTGTAGAACAATATTAATGTAGGAAAAAAAAAATTTGAAGAATTGATTGAAAGATATTAGAACAATATAACAACAAAAAAGCAACTGTTTTTAACAAAAACTGAGAAGAGAAACATGATATAACAGAACAGCGACACCATAGTAAAGAAAGTTGATATTAAATGCAAAGCGTCATTTTACGTGAGCGTAGATTAAATTAGTAATTAATCATATGATTGTATGTTATAGAGTTGTCTTTTATTTTTTTTCAGCCATCTTGATTAATAACTGGTTTCAAGAGTTGTTTGTTGTGCATAGTTAAACGTTCCAAAAATAAATGAAAAAGATTGATGATCATAATGTGCCGCTGCGCCGCGCATGTTAATTTAATAAATAATGATTTAAAAATGATATTTTTATACCTGGCTTTTTTAGATGTTTGTGGTTTGTAATGGAAAATTCATCATTGTCAAAGTTTACTTCTCGTAGTACTCATGGTCAAATCCATGCAATGGTACGTAAAATTGAAATACGCTTTTTTGCCCATACACAGAATTCTTCAAATTCGGTAATAATTGGTGTGGTCGATATCTATTTTTTTTTCACTTGCTTCTGGTCTAGTCCATGTATGTACATGTGCGTAGAATGAGATCATTAGTCAAATAATCCTTTAGTATAAACCGAATAAATCAAATATTAAAGTATGAACGACATTCTTTTTACGTTCTTTTGACTGAAATATGCTTTTTTGTTTGATGAGAACATACAATAGATCTTGAAAAAACTTGAACTTGCGTACCTTCAATTCATCTGTGATGCTGAGTCACGTCTCAAAATGCAAACAAAAAAAAAAAAAAAAATATTAAATTTTTTTTTTTTTTTTGTTAAATAATCAAATCTTTATGTGGTGTGATTAACAACGCCCGCGCCACTAAAAAAATTTAGATGTGATATAAAAAAGCCCATTCAACAGAACTTTTTTTTCCTCGGATGTAGATTTTGCAATGATTTAGGAGTGTGGAATTCCAAGATCATAAGATAACCTATGAATAAAATAAAAATATGCTTCGAAACCATTTCATTCAAATTCGACACGCTCACGCTCCTTTTGTCAAATGAATTTTTTTCCCTGCAATTTTTATGTTCATAATTTTAACCATTCCGGTTTTTGTCATTCTTTTTTTGAAGTTTTGTTTCCAATTATTCTGTTCATACTCTAACAATGTACGAATTCGAACTTTTTAAGATTGTAATTAATACTTTCTGAATTAGCCTTAACCTATTTATGTGTTATTATAGAAAATGAAAAAAAAAAAATGAAAAAAAATTGAAAAATTATTAAAAATTATTAACCGTTTATCATAGTTTTCGAAGATTGGCATTATCGATGTTAAATAAGCTTAAAACAAAGTTAAAAAAATTATATAAAAACTTAAGTGAAAATATGACTAGAAAATTCTACTCGGAATTCTGGAATTCTTTTTCCTCCGTCTTTTCACAACCTAACCTTCCTTCCTTCCATGTGTAAAATCTGAAGGAGATCTCCTACTTTCGTTATTGGGTACCCGTCTCTCAACTCCGAAAGATTTCCAGCCTCGATCTTTTTACACTTTATTTTTCTTACCACCGTTCATAAATTATACTTCACGCTGGTAGCATATGTCATAAGATAGCAATAGCAGGTAAAACAGTTTTAATACAGTGCGATAATATGCCAGGTTACCTTAAAAATGAGTGCTTATTGATGAAAACCTTTATTTCAAAAAAAAACCAAAACATCTTTTTTTTCCATACAGATAAGTAAAAATTGAGGAAATAAGAACACCCCCGACGAAACAACGCCAAAAAAAAATAAAATAAAAAATATAAAAATAAAATGAAAAAAATGAAAAAAAAAATTTAACGCCTCCATAAGGAGGCAATCTTAAAGTTCTTAAAATAGGTGGCGTTGATACCGTCGAGGCATAAGAAAAATTAATTTAAAAAAAAGAGCTTCGGCTTTTAATTGTATTTTATGGGCGTATGAAATAATAAAGAAATTTTTTTCAACGTTTTAAAAAAAAAGAAAAAATTGGTAGTGGTGAAAAAAGGGCATTAAAAAAAAAATAAAAACCAAAAACACGCATACTCTTAAAAAATAAGTGGATGCGGGTGATGGTGTTAAAGAAAAAAATGACCAAAAAGGGTTGGATGGTTATTAAAGAAAAAAAAAAACGCACAAAAGTGCTTAAAAAAAGGCATAAAAAAAGGATTTAAAATATAAAACTTACACATATATGATTGAATTTTTTTGTTGCATAGAGAAAAAAAGAAACCCCGCAAACATTTCCAAAACCAAAAAAATAAGATATCCTAATAATGGTCATCAAGTTGTAATATTCGTGTTTTATAACACGTCAACACCACCAGCTCCACTGTATCCGCATTTTTTAGCGGTAGTATGAGTTGAATTGGTAGAGGTAGGTGAAATGTAATCCTCATCCATAGCCATACTTTCGTCACCACTACCGTGACCCTGTATGTTGTTTTCTTCCGAATGTTCGGGAAAAGAAGAATAAGACTTATCATATTGCGTATTATTATCATAATGAGTTGTGTTGTTATCATATTGAGTTGTGTTGTTATCATAATGTGTAGTATAATTACTACTTTCTGGATTCATATTGTATCCTTGGGCATTTCTGCGGAAAATATCCATAACAGAACCCAAAAGACGAACGAAAGCATCACGTTTGAGGGCGGCGACGCGAACAGGGCCCCGGGCAACAACAGTGGCTTTACGTGGTTGATCATTAAGAAGAGCGAGTTCTACTCGTTTAAAGTATTATTATCATTCGATAAGTATTAAACATATTCCTACCTAAAAAAAAATAAAATAATAAATGCAATTTTTAATATCTTCTTACCCCCAAAATAATCTCCCGGGCCAAGGTTCGGTAATTGTTGCTCGATACCATTTTCTTCGACTTTACATACACTCACATAACCTTGTTCGACGATGTAAAAATATTCGCCAGGTTCGCCCTGAGTGATGATCGTATCACCACATTCATAATTAAATGGTTCTAAGGCTTCGGCAAGTTTATTAATCTCGGATTTATTCAAAGAAGAAAGGAACGAAACCGATTTTATAAAACTTTCGTAAGTTTTTCGTTGACGATTCATGGCATTTGTAATTGTTCTCCTAAAGTCATCTCTGCTTACAGCCCATAAAATACCATCAGTTTTTGCTTTAACAGTAGCGGCTCTAGGATTCTAAATAATAGAATGAAATCACGTGAGTATATGCTAACACGAAACCATGATCAAAGCATAAACAAAAAAAGTAATAGTATTAAAATAGATAAGATACATTGTACATTAATGCCAGTTCACCAAAACTACCGCCGTCAGCAACTACCAGAACTAAATTATCATCGACAAAAATTTCGAACATGCCATGTTCGATTACGTAAAAATTGTCACCTTCTTCACCTTGAGTGATAATAGTTTCATCTTTGTGAACAATTCTTTCAAACATAGCATCTATCTAATAATTAGAAAGAATCAATAATATGAAGAAATAGTAAGGAAAGGAAGTAATATATATTATATATATATATATATATATATATATTTAATAATATATATATTTATATATATATTTATTTATTTATTTTATTTATTTAAAAGCAGAAAGTTGAAATAAAAGTTATTTTAAAAATTAAAACTTACCACTTGTTCTTTAGTTTCACGATCTAAATTCTTGAAAAGCAAGTTCAGGGTAGTAGCGACGTTGATTCGTTTTCTCACCTCTTCGGATTTTGGATGAATCGTACGATCATTAGGATCGTCTGAAGGTCTGATTGATTCGGCACTAACGGAATTACGACGGCCTCTTCTTGGAAAGGTACTCGAGTAGCTTCGAATAAAACGAGAAGAAAGATGATTCGGAGGCGATGGAGGTAAACATTGACGCCATTGAAACGAATCTTCATCAGAAAGCCGTTGATGGGGAACATGTTGATCCATAAAATAAGGTGGAGTTCTAATTTCCATACTAGGCAGAAAACAAAAAAAGGTTAACGAAACGACGAATGAAAATAACGAATGTTTTATTCTTATAAATAAAATAAACTTACAATGAGTCCTCTTCTTCAGACCTTTGACGTTTTCTATTTGCTACGTGAATAATTTTATTAATTTTAAAAATTTTCGATTAATTCAATTATTTTAATTATTTTAATTAGATAATTAACAAGTAAAAACGCGTGTGGATGTAAAAAGTGTTACATACTCGGATGCCCAGGCGTTGTCGAACCGTTTCGTTGAATGCTAGCCACACTAGATGAATCATAAACTTGAGTGGCGTATCCTTCAAAAACTTTCTATCAAACCACAAAAAAATAAGAATCAGATCGAATTGATAAGAAAAAGCGCGTCATCGCGAAAAAAAAAGGATAAAAAAAAAAAAGTCAGGGTAAGAAAAATAGATCGTTGAAATAAAAAAATCAAGTACTGAATATCGCACATAACAAGATAAATAAAAATACGGTGCATAAAAAATGGGGTCCATTTAACAAACGAAAAAGGTAAGACTTTTTTTTTTTTTTACGTAAATAAGTAATACGTACAGAATATGAAGGCGGTTCCTTCGACTCCCTCTTTACCTGTTGAACCGATTTCACACAACCGACGATGTATTCATAGGGATCGCTTGGCTGGTGACGTTGCAGTCCACCTTCGAGTTCGTTAAGTAAATTCTTTAAATCGTGACCTTCCATATAAGATTCCGCTCGAGGGTCTTGCATGAAAATGGAAAATAAAGGGATATCGAGTAAGTACAGTTTCTCTTTTATAATAGTTAAGGAAAGAAAAAAATTCGATCTATAAGAAATAGAAACGAAATATGTATGCGTGGATACGAGAAAGGGTAAAAAAAAAAAAAAAGGTGAACTATTCTTTTTTACTAAAAATAATATTTTTCAATAATATCAGAGTAAAAAATACGAAGGTGGCTGCGATATCTTTGTGGTGGCACGTAAGAAAGAGGGAGAAGACGACGCGCAAAAAAGGGAGCGTAAAGAAAAATCGGTAAAAAGTCGCGTTTTTTGGTTTCTTTTATACAGAATTCCAGTGTGGGAAAATATAGGGAATCAAAAAGTTTTTTTTTTCTTTTGCAGCCACTGCAGCATGTATTTTTTATCTTTTTCTTTTAGGGGGAAAGACCGGGGAAGGGGTGATGCGCAAAAAATCAAACAATTTAGGGGACAAGCACGTTGCCCACTAATTACCCGATATGAATAATATACTTACATCAAGAGACCAAAATTAATTATATTGTATAGATGGTTTGGAAAGAATGCGGGGTAAAAAAAAAAAAAAAAAATGTGGTAGAGTTGAAAGAGAGTCTATAAAAAATGTACAGAAGATCCCGAAATAACTATTTTACGCGTTTTTGTTCTCGCGTGCAGATAAAAAAAATTTTTTATAGTTATAATACAAAAAAAAAAAAAATAATAATAACAATAAAATAAAATAAAATATACAACAAAAAAAAAAAAAGAAAGATCCAAATAAAATAAAATATATAATAATAAAATAATAATAAAAAAAAAAAATTAATAAAAATTAAAAATTAAGATCCAACCAACTCACAAGTCACCCAAACACACACTAAAAACTAAAAAAAGAACGTGCGACTGAGTGATAATGGATTCAGAAACAGGAGGAAAAAAAAAAAAAAAAAAAAAAAAAAAAAAGATCAAAAACGGACGATGCTTGTTTTTTAACAAGAAAGGAGGAGAAAATCAATGGAAGCTCCAGATGTATAAAAAACAAGGCAGTGAAAGAAGAAAAAAAAAAGCAAAAGAGGCATAACAACGAGGGTTTATAACGGAAATCATCAGGGTCGGAAGTTGGAATATTACATGGAAGGAATGGTAAGATAGGGTTGATTCAAAGAGTTCTATTGGTGTTTAGGGATTGTTGACAAATAGTAAGGAAACGTAAAAGTCGTTATAAAGCGTGAAAGATTACCCAAATGCCCATAGGATTATCCATTAGAAACAAACAATGACTACCAGTTGCTGCCTGCTTTGGTGCAGCTTTCACGCTTTTTTTGCATGCGCGAACCCTTTGGTTCAAGCTTTCAACTCACCAGCCATATTTGGTAATTGGCCACTCAATAACACCCCGTTTTCGATAAACAAAAGGCCTCGCCCCTTCTTCCGTAATTTATGTATACCGTTGGGAAAAAAAAGCAGTAACAGTTACCGATTGCGGAGTATTGTTACAGTGATACAGGCATTCAAACATGACGCAGCAGCATGCAGTTATGAAGTGGTACATTCATTTAACGGCATAGGAATGACTGTTGATTATCTAGAAACGGATTTAATGAGTATTTTTCTTGTGATTATATGCGTAAGTCTTAAATAGTCAACTCCGTTTATCTCATGATTTATCATAATGATTAAAAAAATTGAGATTAAAATATCGATATATCGATATAGCATTTAAAAAAATGTAAATAATAACTGATAATAATTAATTGAGTCTGATTCGTCAGATAAGTTCATAATGAAACTTTTATTCTAACAGCAAAGCGATGACAAATGAAGTGCGATAATGCATGCGCAAAAGAGAGCTTCATTGAAGCTGCTGTTTCTTTTTTTGGCTTAATGATAACGAAGGCGTGCAGGAAGCTTGCTTACTGGCTATGAATAAAGAAGATATTATAGAAACTTTCCAAAAGACCCTCCTTCTAAAAAAGAGATTTTCACGATCAAATTTCTCAAATCTCTCAAATTTCTCAAATTTCACAAGAAGCGTAACAAAGTGAGACTTTGTACGCGAGGTAAAAGAACCTGAGATAACTTATGACAAAAGACAACTTACGAGACAACTTGAGACAATTTATGAGATGAATGAATGAAAATTTGGAGAATCATTTATTTCCAAGTTTGTTAATTCATTAAATTAATTCATTTTCAATAAAGTCAAATATCTTTTAAGGATTTAAATCTTGCTTGAGATGAAAACCATGCGTGCATTTTACCATAACGGTCTTTGCTTTGAAAACGGTATGTTCATGATCGTTTATGATCGTTTACGATCGTTACGGTCAACTGGTTCGATCGACCAACATTAGTCATGCTTTTTTAAGGGTCCAACAGAAAAAAATTGTCCGTGCAAAGATCCAAATCCAAATTCTATAAATTCTAAAGCAACTAAAGGAAAGCATGGAAATAATAAACAAGCGATCATTGGTAAACAAACATACTATCATCCCTGCAGAAACTACAATTGTCAAATGCGTGTTTCATCTTTTCTATATTGTATCATAAGACGTTTTTAGAGTAACGGAGCAATTGTTAAGAGTACCGTAATTATTCGTTCGTCCATAAACGGATATAAATTATAAACGGTTGGTGACAATATTATCAGTAAATGAATTTAATTAACATCTCATTCAACAATGATTAATAATGAATCTATTTAACAGTTAACGATAGTGATCTAATTAATTTTAAATAATCTTAAAAGTCTCGATAAATATTTCCATAATAATAAAAGACTTACATCATCATCTTCAGTAGCGCGTTTCTATTATCTATTTACATACAGTAATACAGTTAAGTAAGTATTACAGATATTACAAGATATTACAGATTACAGAATTAATATTCATCTAATATTCTAATATCTATCTGTAATCTTAATATATATATCTAATATATCTAATATTCATTCATGGGAAACAATTAATTTCCTCGTGTTTTGAGAAATCTGTTTGTGGTTGGTAGTTTACCTTTGATCTTCCATAAATATATATTTCTAGACGATAAATAATACCGATTAATCAAGAGATCTCTCTCCGTTAAATTTAATTTCACCCCTTCACGTCATCCGCATAAAAATAAAGTATTCGCAGTCAAGATCCCCTACTAAATTTGGTAATTCTAACAAATTAAATGCATTTCAATCGTCGTAATACAAATTCTTCTCATGAGTTTAAAAAACAAAAAATGCGCGGGAATTTTTTTATATTGCGTTTCTGTTTATCAAACATCTGGCTCTATTTATTACAAACTACTATAATATTTGTCTTTCATAATGTTTATCTTTAGTATAATTTCATTTATTTTCGTACATTTTGTATTCTGGGTTTTCTCCACCTGCAAATCAAAATTATTCTTTACTATATCAAGCCTTTTTGTTATTACAACTTGTGTGAGGCGCTGTAAAATTTACTTTTACCGGTATCATCCCTCGAGAAGTACTCGTGCTTCAATATCTTTAGAAATCTTGTTTTTGAAAATTTTATAGTAATATAGTAGTAATATAGTAGTAATATAGTAGTAATATAGTAATATAGTAATGTCGGGAATTCTACGTATAAATTTTTTACTGTTTGACATGACCCTAATTTTATTACTCGATCCTTTCCGGTTCTTATCAATGCTTGATATAAATCATGTTAATGTCTCACGATAATTGATAATTAATGTTTAACCAATCTAATACTAGTCAATCGTTAGCTATGAAATTTCCAATATTCAAACTTTAACTTTACTTAAAGTTTAAATTATATTTAGCACATATTTTAAATTACTAAATTTTGTTACATTTTTTTATTATGTACGTTGTTATCTGTTATGTACCTAACTGTATGTATGTACTATACATGCGTACCAATCTTTATCAAGGTTTAGTATCTATTGTTACAAATCAATTCTCGTTATAATGAACTTTGAATATCGATATAGAAAAACTTTAAATTTTATTTTTGTCTATAACGATAGTAAATTTGTATACTGTAACAGATACTGTAACAGTATCTGGTATACAAAATATATTATATTTATCGACCGAAAATTAGCAAGTCATATCCGGTGTTTAGAATTCTGGTGCATCGTCCAGAATTCTAAATACTGGTCATATCTGAGATTCCTAATGGCTGTGCAGTATACTGATAATTTATGACTATGGTTTTTTTTATTACAAGATTTAAAATATTGTACGTTTCTTTAACAAGATTTTATTTAAATGCTAACGCTAATATTTATTATATTCTTCAAGTTTAATTATATAGATTATTATAAATTATATAATTAACTATATATATATCATGTTTTTATATTGCTTACACTTATACATAGTTATATATATTATTATATATACTGTGTATACTACGTTCCAAGTTGTAAAGATAAAATGACGAGTCTAAAACATATACCGGTAATTAAACATCTTAAATACGTAAACTATATCGATATAAATGCGTCGTAAAATTAAATAAAGTATTTACGGTAAATACGTAAATATATTTACATGCGTTATTTTTTTGTTATGCTATTATATAGTACAGTATATGATTAAAGCGCGTCTAAACTTTTTAGTAATGTAACCTTTAGATTTTCCTTAATTTTGGTAGAATCTGTTAATTCCGGTAAAAATAATCGGAAATTTGATACGCATATATGCATTTATATACTATAATAATGATGCGTATTTCAAATATATATATATATACAGTATATACCTTATGAAAATCTGGAAATTTTGAAGAGATTTGACAACAGCTTAAACAATAATAATTTAAATACAAGTCACTCTTGTTTCTGGTATGAATTTACTAATAGAACCGATCACTTCGCTATAACGAGTGACTTGTAACTGCTACAGCAAATTCAACGAAGCAGTAATCCCCTTCTCTGCACAAGAAAATATGTCTCTGCACAAGGTAATATGTTAGAATGTTCCTAAACTTATCTCGCATTCCAGTAATTGGCTTCAACCTATAAAAGCAAATTGTTTACTAATATACTATATTTTTAGTAAAACTAGTAAAGAACCTTATTACCCATTGTAAGAAACAAAATAATAATTTTTCGATATATCGAGATTATATTTAAAAATACCCAATATTATACATTTTATATAAATGACCTTGATTAATAATGACTTTAAATTTGGTCGTCATTTATCCCTTAAATGTTTTATTTATACGCAATTACAAAACTCGCCCCTATTCTTTTACCTCTTCAATAATTATAATAAATACAGTAATATTAGTAACTTTGAATAGTCATGTGTGAATATTACGATTTTTCTGGCCACCCTTTCTCTCCGTTTTCTCCTTCCTCCAGCGAATCCTGTTGGTTAACTACACGTAATACTGCCTTTTTGCTTGATTCCTGCATTTCTCCCGCAATAATCAATTCATCTAAAACATAATATGCCTAAAATATCAATTTTCAATAATTTATAAGTAATTTTAATAAGTAATTATACGTAGATATATTATTATTAAATAAATCGATACCTTTTGAAAATTAAAGATTAGATCCAATTCACAAACCTAAAAGTAAAAAAATTACTGAACAAGAATGATTTAAAAATTTTTTTTTTAATTTACAAAATGAAAAAATGATTTGTTTACATTGCCAAAATATCGATCTAAAATTTCAACATATCGATGAATAATTTCAAGCGTTATAAGTTCATTATCTGAAGCTGAAATCCCTGTGACAAAAAATAAACTTGCGTATCTATTATAATAGAAAATTGGTTATTATTAATGCCAAGTTGAGATACTCTAATTAATAATAACTTTGATCCAGCTTTGAATTATGAATAAAATATTACCTTCGATATACAACCTTCTCATCTACAATTCACATAATAAAACACTTGTTAAAAATTTGTGATCTAGACAGTTGATTAAATAATTTATAATTTAAGAAATTAAACAAACCTTTATACTCTAAAAAATTGCACATTTTAGTGCGTCGCGAAAGTACCATTTGTGTTACTTCTTTAACGATTTTTTGTTTTTCTTTTGGTGAAAGTGTGTTGAACCATTTTGCAAGTCTTACTTTTCCTTGTCTACTAACCAATAGTACGTATTTTATCTGTTAGGAAATCACTAGAATTAATAATGGTTAATAAAACAGTAAAGCGAATCATAACACCAACATACCCCCATGACGTTAAAATTTTAGTAGAAAAGAAAGGCTTATCGTTATGTCAAAATATTAACCGCTTGCAGATCTGAAACAAAAATAATCGGGCCAATCATAATAAATTTTTACTGTTTAAATTTCATCATCCTCAAAATTTTTAATAGGATGATTTCTCAATTTTTTATCTTATCTCCTCAACGAGGTGACACGTTAATTTTTCGTGATTGTAAGCTAAATGCAATTTTTTTTATATTTTTACAGCTGCTCATTCCTGATATTTCCTATTTTTTTAATATTTTCTAATATTTTCTAATATTTTCTAATTTTTCTTAATAGACCGTCATGATGCTCCTCGCGATACTTCCGACCTATTTCTTGACAGATTAAAAACCTGGCATAAAGAACACGGTCCAGATCAAGACCCACCACCAATCTTTAATGTTGATGGTGTTCAAATCTTGTTCACAAATATTCAAGGGTTATACTTTGTATGCACTACAAAGTTTAATGTATCTACTTTTATGACCTTTGAATTACTCGACCGTATTGCTAGTTTAATTAGAGATTTTTGTGGGATATTAAGTGAAGAGTGTGTGCGATTGAATTCTAGCTTGATTTATGAATTGTTAGATGAAGTAATTGTAAGTCTTTAATATATCAAACTTAATATATGAAAACGATCAATCCTTAATTTTTTTTTATTTCTTACCAGGATTATGGTTATCCTCAGACAACATCAACTGATCAATTAAAATCATCTATTTACGAAGAACCCGTACCTGTCAAGAAAGAAAATATAATCATAGATTCTATAGCAAAAGTATGTTGCTCAATTTTCCTATCCGCCTTTATTAATCGAATTTATTATATATTATATATTAATAATTATAAAAATATGATTCACCATTTTAGTTAAGGGCTCATGGAACGAATCTAGGATTTTCCAGTAATAAGCCAATCAGTAAGCCAACCGCCAATTCTCACGATGAAGGAAGATATAAACAAAATGAAGTATTTATTGATATTATCGAACGACTTGTTGCTTGTTTCGCCTCCGATGTGAGTGTGACTTTTACGATATTTAATTATCATTATATTTTAAAGATATTATATAATACTTTTGACAATATAATAGGGAATGACGATCCATGCTGAGATCAATGGATCAATACAAATCAAAAGTTATCTACAAGATAACTCTGAAATTCGTATAATTCTCAGTTCCAATATGACCCATGGTCGGGACATGTATTATAGTGGTATGTTACAATTTAAATCCATAGAATAAAATTTATATCATAGATCACTTATTTTATATTCTAATGAACGAAAGATGATCGGTTTGGGATCATGTTTGATGACTACAAGTTTCATGAATCAGTGGATTCTTCAGGTAGTTTCATTATATTTTTTATATCAATACTAATATAACCACTTATTAATACTAATATAACTACTTATTAATACTAATAAAATCACTTATTAATACTTTAACTTAGAATTTGAAGGACACAGGCAAATGATTATATTTCCACCAGAAGGAGAAATAACTGCTATGATGTTAGTTTTGGAAATATTACTTATGGTTTTATTACATAAAAAATATTCTTCGCTAAATATAAATTACCTTTAGTTATCGAATATCTGGAGATGTTAATTTGCCATTCCGGGTATTTCCACAAATATTAGATGTTCCAGAAAGTCCAAATAAAATTGACGTTATTATTCGAATTAGAGCAGATTTTCCTGAAGATAAAATCGCGACAAATTGTACAGTAATTGTGCCTCTACCACATATAACTCAAAGGTAGGACAACAGAATTATTAGTAATCACATAATTTTATTATATTAATGGTTCATCTACTTTAGTGTATCAAACGAGCACCTGGATGGATTTGCAGATCAGTCTGCTCGATATGATAGCCGTGTTAGAAAGGTGTTTTGGACAATTAATAAGTTAAAAGGTGGTACCGAGCAGTCACTCAAAATAAAGGTTGGATTCATTTTTGGCTTATCATTAATAGTTGCCACTGCATAAAGCAGTTAAAATTGCAATCAACTCTTCGTAAGTGTGCTCTCTATATTAAGGATTGGTGTCAGTTTAGTTGACTAAAAAAATTAATCTAATTAACGACTATGTTTAGTCGACTATATAAGTGCTCTGTTAGTACACAACAATTGACCATAATTTAACTTGCGCAATAATACATTGCATTTAAAGTATTTATTATCACTATTATAGTTAGACGTCTTATAAGTGTACTCTCTCCTAATGGGTCCACTTATGGAGAGTTGATTGTAGTTGTGCTTTCATTATCAAATCTTCAATATCAATTCTGGAATGCTTCTTATTTAAATATCAAATATAAATTTATATCATTTCTGTATCAATGTCAATTTTCGTTATTAGGTCACCGGTGCAAGTCAGTTTTCTCCTGCAGCCCACTTGGAAATAGGACCCATCAAGTAAGAGTTTGAGAATTTAATTTACTTATATACGCTGGATGTTAATATCATTATTATCTTGTTTAAAATGCATTAGCCTTGAATTCGACATACAAAACTACACGTGTTCTAACATTCAAATTCGTCGTCTTAAAGTGCTTGAAAAGAGCGATTCACTACCGCCACAACGATGGGTTAGATATTTGACGCTTGCTGAAAGTTATGTATTTCGTATTTGAAGAGATGATGACATTAATTAAGTATGGATCAAATAGAGAATTGTCATTACAGTTCACTTCATTTTTTATCAATCTCTCTAACACCAATGTTTCTTTTTACTAAAGTATTAATTATAGAACATAACTTACATCAATATTTAAAACAAATCCCGTTTTACGGGCAAGATTAAATAGTATTGTCATGCAAACTTAAAGATTGTATGTCAACACTGGTTATAGAATAATTATCGGCTTTCGGGCTATGATTTTATAAATATTATTGTATTGGATTTATAAAGTAAACGATATGTAAGAAAAATGTTATTACGATATTAATATCATGAATCAACAATCGTGAAAAAAATTGTATTAATTCTCGTAATATTTAAATAATATGAAGGATTTATGTTAAAATCACTCATTTTTATCAATACATATTTCAGAATTCTACCTTACATTATTTAATTCGCACGTAGTGGTCATATTATTCTTGTGGTTAACACAAGGAGGTTTTCGCAGATCAATTTAATCGACGATCCATAATTAGGATCCGGAATGGGCTGGGTTTTGAATAGACCCATATTTGACCCACAAAATATTTTTTAGCTCACACCCGACCCAGTGAAAAAAAAACTTTGAGGACGGGTCGGGCTGGGCATTATTTAAAAATAGTCCGGTCCATTGGGCCTTTCATAAATTTTTGGATAGCTGAAAAAACCGGATTGAGTCAAAATCGCTAATTACCGATTCGGTAAAATCAAAATTTTATCGATTCGGTCAACAAGTGTCCCAGAATTTATGAAAACAGCTTATCACTATAGTAAATGCTGAAATACGCAAATCAGTATGGTATGGGTGAGCAAATCCGTATAGTACGGACCAATTTTTAAAATCTATACTCAATTCAAAATGTCTACTCCACCTTGGATCAATCTCTTGCTCTATCGGAAAATACGGGAACTCCATCAATTGTATCAACAATTAAATACACTGGCTGCCCTATAAAAAAAGTCGATCCGTGATTTATATTCCGTGTTTTTTCCGTAAATGTTGCATATTCTCGGAATTTATAACTCCTAAATCATGGAGATTATTCGGCTTGTTTGCATTTTATTGATCATGTTGCAGATTCACGGAGTTTTCACAAAAAACATGGGATAATAATGGAAATATTCGGATAAAATTTCTTGAATCACTGGTGACAACAATTATGCATAATAATGGATGTGCATATCCCGAAGAACACGCGTTTTTAGAAAATGTGAAGATAAAAAACCTCTTCTTAAGGGTGTGATTCCGTGCATATAATGAACTATATAGATAGTAATGGTGTAGAAAGGCCTAAGGGAAATAAATAGGTTCTTCAAGAACGAGATTTATGGATATCAGGCTTTTTAAAAAAGTGTAATGATTGTAAAAAAAATAAGCCTGATCCAAACAACCCAAATTGTTGCACTTTGTGTATTCTTTTAGTTTGCAACTCAAAAATTACACATATAAGAGGTAAATAAGTTTTTTTTTTAAAAAAAAAAAAAAAAGAAAAATTATTTAAAAACCATTATTTACATATACATAAATAATTTAGGCAACTGAAGATGCTGGCTACATGTGCATCTTTTACTTTGTTTTATTATGAATTTAATTTTATATACTTACTACCATGTATATGATTTTTTTTTTTTAAGACTTTATTGGGTTTTCTTTGAGCTTTTTTGGAGTTTTGCAGTGTTTCTATTGTGTTTTTATTCTATTTTTTTTATTGAGTTTTATAGTGTTTTTATTATATTTTTATTTTATTTTCTTTATTGAGTTTTCTCTGAGTTTTTTTTGTGTTTTTATTCTATTTCCTTTATTGAATTTTTTTCTTAATTGATAATTCTCCAGTTAACTGGAAAATAAACATAGTATAACATGACTCAGTTTACTATATAAATCTAATATAGGCTGAATCTAAAATTGCTCCAAGGTAAACTTTTTTTGTACTAAGTTAATCGATCTTGTCAATTAATTAAAAGTTGTAAAGCTTATCTTTGCAGTTTTAATGGTGGTTAAAGCATCAAAATCAGCCTGGTGGGTGCCAAGATATCTTTAAAAAACATTTTTTTACTATGTAAACTTTTTTGTAAACAATCTATTGTTTGCAATGAATTGGTTTCTATATATAAAAACCAACTCATTAAATAATTATCTACATGACACTGATTTTTAATGATCTTGTGATTTTGTAATTAGATTTTAATAATTTTAGACTTGTTAAAATCATCTCACTAAAACAAACATTTTGGTAATTAAATAGACTAGTAGATTGGAAGTTATTTAATAGTACAGAAGGTTATTTAGTAATTTTAAAAATTACTATTAAAATTATATAAATATTGGATTGGATTTTAATAATTTTAGGCTTGTTAGAATTGTTTTATCAAGACAACATTTTAATAATTTAATTATTTAAAACAAACTAGTGAATCAAATGTTATTGCAATTCCAAAAATTGGAGCATATAATATATAACCAACTTTTAGCAAAAAAAAGTTATATAGTGTTTTGCTAAGCAAACTTTAAAACTAGGTTTAAAACGAGAAAACAATATATTAAAAGAGGCAAATTTTGCAGGTCTTTCTGGAGAAAGTATAGTAGCCCCAGTGTACATTTTGAACAATATAATTGAAGAAGCATTATAAGAAGAAAAAAACTTTGAATTGTATATCAAGATATGAAGAAAGCCTTTGACTTAGTAAGCATGATAGCATTTAGAAAAGCTCTAGAAAGACTTAGACTCCCACCAAAGCTTGCAGACTTCATACTACATCTATTTAAAAACAGAAAGTTTAGCATTGTAACAGAATTTGGCAATACAGACTTATTTAAAGCAGAAGATAGGATAGACCAAGGAGAGGTTTTGTTACCCTTGGTTTGGAGGATATTTTATAATCTACTCCTATATAGAGTTCAAAATGCAAAATTAGGCTACGAAATGCAAGATAAAATAATAGATACTAACAGAAAAGTTGAAAGTGAAAAGTTAAAAATAGGAGTATTAGCATATATGGATAACACAACATGGATGACATATAATCAAAAAAGTATGCAAGTGACAATTAACATATCAAATGAATTTTATAAACTAAATGATATTGAGATAAACCCAAACAAAACTAAGCTAGTAGTAGCGAAACCAGGAAAAAAAAGAATAGAGGACAATCTATTTGTATAGGCTGGAAACCCAAAGACAAAGATTCTGGCAAAGAGTTTAAAGGAGTCATCACATTTCCTCGGGGTTTGGATCTCAATAAAGAACTAGCAAAGATCAGATATATATAAGGCAAAAAAGAAAGTAAACAAAATAACAGGATTACTTAAGTATAAGAAAATGTCACTTAGCCAGATTATATATATAAACAATATGGTTCTTGTACCCACACTAGAGTATAGACTTATGCTCTCATATTTAACCAAAGCTCAATATGATAGAATACATCAACTTATGATCTGTTTTACAAAATGAAAAATGTTAATGCTATCCACAATAGCAAATGCAATAACAAAATATCCAAAAATAGTAAACTTCAAAAGTCTTTGGAATAGATATATAGAACATCATTTTTCAGAACTTGTAGTAAAACTAAATATAGATGGGTTGTTAGAAAAATTAACAGTAATAAGATTAAAACAAGGTCAATACAAAACAGGCTTAACTAAATGTATCCTAACAAATCACAAGCTTTTAGCGAAAAGAAAGCTAAAAATAAAAAATTTTGGTGTGCAAATTCTACAGCAGACAAAATCTTTAGGTTTTATAATAGAAGATAGTAACTTTACAAAAGATGGGATATGAATCTTTTTCAAATAGCTAATAATCATGAAATCTCAAGAGTTTTAGAAAAAGACAGGTTTTGCTATGAAGAAACAAATACTAGCAGAAGAGAATTTTGGTTATCATCGCAGCTTCTAACAATAGATAGTAAATCAATGTATACTTGGAAACAAATCAAACTGATAAACAACCTCACTCTAAAAAAGAAAAAGGCAAGTAGGTTTGAGGCATTAGAAAAAGAAATGATTGATAATCTGATAACAAAAGAAGTCAAACCAATGTACAAGCTTGAAACAAATAATCCAAATGCATCCAAGTTAATCTTAGAGAAAGTCAGAAAGGATAAAAGATTTAAAGAATGGATTATGTGGAAAAATAAAGATCAAACACAAGTCAGAATTGGGAAAATTATAGAAAAAAAAAGAAAATATGTTAAAATAAAAAATTATATAGAGACAATTAAGCCACAATTAGGGATAGAACAAATATTTTTACAATGCATCGAAAATGAAGCACCTATCTTAGTAAAATGCAAAAAACTAGGAGATATATCAAACCTAGTACAAAAATTAGAAAGTGGTCCACAAATGATCTTTCTTTAGAAAAAGCTTTAAGAAAAAATGTAGAGAGAGAGGTAGTAACTGTGAGAAAAATACTTGAAGTTAAGAAAAAAGAAGTATTAGTTATAGGTTGTACAAGGTGGGAAATTTGTTTAATAAATAAAATAGTCATAGATAGAACACTTAGAAGTAGTTTAATAAAGGTTTTAAAACAAAATTAAGTTTTAGATAGTTTGTTTTTTTTATACAAATAGTTTACTCAAAACATCAGAAGGTCTTACAAAAATGAAAATAGGTTGTGGAATTGTGCAAATTACAAGAGAAGGTCAGATCCTATATCAAATAGCTTGTAGTACCAAAAAGTAGTTCTTATCAACAAGAGCAAAGTTAGTAGCAATCCTAGTAGTGATATTAGTGATATCTAATGAAAGAAAAGTAGAAATAAGAACTGATAGTAGTGTAGCCATATTTGCAATCAGAAAAGAGCTTAAAGCAGACAAAGCAAGGCAATAGTTTAAGATCAAAAACAATGACCTGATTGCAACAATAGTTGAAGTAGTTAAAATGAAGCAACTAACTCTATATCTCACAAAAATTAAGGGTCACTCAGGAGATATTTTTAATAATTTGATAGATCTTAAGGCCAA